TTGTGCCCACCCTTGACCTGCAACAATATCATTAAAAATGGAAGAGTTTTTTCGCCCTCTCGCCAAAAAGGAATTGAATCGCGTTAAACGCGATTGCGTTATCCTGACCTGCACCAATAAAAACAAGTTTATTTATTAATTTCTATTAAAAGAGAATTTATTTTTTTTGCTTGCTCGCTATGCTCGCTCGCCAAAATGGAATTGACACCGCTAACGTGCCCGCCCCAACCTGCAACAACCAGTTAATAATTATGTACGAAACGTTATTCAAAGAAGTTTTGGTGTGCTCGTGCTCGCCAAAACGGAATTAACATCACCTTAGACATGATTGTGTAAGCCCTGCCCTGCAACAAAAAAATCTGAAATTTATGAACCAATTATCATTACAAAAATTTTGCTCGCTCGCTACGCTCGCTCGCCAAAATAGAAATAACACCGCTTTTAATAATCACGTCCCTGACATGGAACAATTAAACCAAGTTTATATACCATATTTTCCCTATAAAGAGAAGTGATTTTTTTTTGCTCGCTCGCTACGCTCGCTCGCCAAAATAGAATTAACACCGCTTTTAATAATCACGTCCCTGACATGGAACAATGAACCCAAGTTTTATGTACCATATTTTCCCTATAAAAGAAAAGTGATTTTTTTTTTCCCGCTCGCTACGCTCGCTAGCTCGTGGAATTATGTGCCCACCACTAACCTGCTACAATATCATTAAAAAGAGAAATGTAGGGGGTTGCCCGCCCGCCAAAATGGGATTGACATTGCCTTAAACACGATTGTGCCCGCCCCCTACCTGCAACAATGAAACAAATTTTATATAGCAATTCATTGAGAGAAAGATGTATTTTCGCTCGCTAGCTAAAATGGGTATAAAATCACCCTAAACACAATATTGTTCCCGCGCCCTGCATGGGACAATTGAACCAAGTTTAAGTGGCAATTATTAAAAAAGAAGTGATTTTTTTCTTGCTCGCTACACTAGTTTGCAAAAAAATGAAATTAACGTCGCTAACAAGTGAATGTCCCCCCCCCAACTTGCAACAATACCAGTTTATATACCAAACGTTACTTAAAGATTTTTTTTTGCTCGCTCGCTCGCTCGCCAGAAGTGAAAATTAGCATCGCCTTTTTTGTTTGTTTCGGTCGCTTGCCCCCCCTGACGGAGTACCCCAGGTACGCCACTGACTGGAAATATCACGGTATTCGAACCCGATGAATCGAAATCAGGGAAATTATTTCCGTAGCCATCTGATGAACTGTTAACAGAAAAAATAAACTTCAGGCAAGTTCAGTAGCGTTGCCCATCAACTTTTGAAAAGTGCAAACATTTGGCATTTTGGCATGATTACGTAATACAAACACGACTTTATCGGACATAAAATACGGTAATGAAATTGCCCCTGAGTTGCCTTCATGATAGTCTTTGTGATCGCATTACGGAGAGAAAAAAAACTCTGCGAAGATTAATTTCAATTTGGATTAAAGGTAAAGACCAGTATTGGAAACGCCGCAATTTCAAAAAATGAAATGGAAGCTCTCATTACCAATCATGTGAAAGAATATGTTTTGACTAATACATGATGATAAAAAATTTGCCGGGAAACGGCGTACTAATTCATATAATTGGTAAATTTGTTTCTCTCATGGTCTGTGAGAGATATAGGGTAGTCCCATATACATCTTTCTGTGTATAGTGCTTGTAACTTTACGAAGAATGGGCCAAATTTCTTATTATTTTGATGATTCTAGAACCTTGCAGATGCTAGATGCTAGATGAACAACCTTTTCTGATCGATTCCACAACGTTTCTTTCACAATGCAATCGCATGACCATAACTGGTCTTTACCTTTAAGTCAATAAATCTATCGATTGTTATCTTAAATTAGAGAAAAAAAGACTGAAATCGCTTATTATTTCAATTTTTCAGTTCTCGTTTGATCACGTATTACAGGCTGATCGAATTGGAACAAAGTCTCATCACTATCATTATAGTTATCAATATAACACTTCAACATTCTTATCTTGCCAATCAAAGATTCAAGTGTTGTGTGTCTAAGTTTGTTTAAGAGGGGACCTATATCACCCTTAACTTTAAGCATACAATGCTTTGACTTGTCATCTTTCAAGTATGACTCTATAAGATTTCATTTCATTTCATTTTTTTGTCATTTCCAACTAAATACAATACATAATAACGAATACAATGTAAAATGTATACAAAACAAAGTTACATTAATTTTGCAATAAACTAATCTTAACAGTAATTTGTACATTTAGGAAGAAAAAAAATTGAATAATATATTTAACTGCATTTATATTTTGAGAAAATGGAGAGGTACACTGAAAAGCAGAGCTCGTAAATTTATTGTGGACCCCTCAGATAATAATGAGTGTGAAAAGGGTATAGAATACATAAACAATCATAGATAGTATAGCGGCCAACAGAGACAACATTTATACAAACATGTAATGGCTGATACTGAAAGGTACTTTGATCTCGTTACTCAAATCTTCAATTTGATTGTCATATAATTATACCATGTACACAGTACCTTTATACAAATTAGTTATACGCTATCATGTAATTGTTTTCCCCTCTTACCCTCCCCCCCCCCCCACTCAGTGTTATTTAGGGTGCTTGTTCCCTCTTTTTGAAAGCACCCCCTATCTGAGGACTGCCAACATTTCCGAACCCCCCTTTCTCGGGATTTTTGCGGGCTTTTCCTGCCTTGGAGACCCCCCTAAATCATGGAAAATGCTCAATGTACCCCCCTAAATTCGGAATAATTTCTCAGGAGTCCTACGGTCACCGTGTTTTTTTTTTTTTAAAGTGGAGCTGAATTGGTATGATCGTATTGGCTAAATTTCACACATTTTGGGGTCTAAAATTACCTTGATAACAATTTTAGGTTAAAAAAAGGGCAATATAAATGTCATAGATAAGAATAAGAGCAATAACCATGCACTTTGAAGGCATTTGCGGTCTGAAAACAGAACGCAACTATCCCTTTAAGCACCATGCACTCTGTAAAGTTAAGTCAATTTCTGTCCCAATAAACCTCTGTCACGAATGCTAAAAGCGAATTAAGGTTAGAAATTAAGCGGTCCATTCTTGTTCGGCGTGCTTTTCAATTTAAGAGTGCGCTAATGTTTCATTGTTTATTCTAATCGATCACTTATCCTTGTCATGAATGTTTTAATGAATATTTTAAAATCGTGTGAAATGCGTTCATGTTCAAAATCAATCAAATTTTTATAATTGAGAAATGATTGCACTGAAATGTGTTCATGTTTAAAATAAATCAAACTTTTATAATTGAGAAATGATTGCACCGTTCATTAGTTATAGGACGTCGTCTGCTTTCGCAGGATTGGTTCCTGATGTGACGTCATCAAAACAATGCTAAACTTGCTGGCGAAGCGCTGATATATCCCAGATCCTGAGAGGTGCTTTTATTTGTGTTAAATTTTGTATTGTCCGATAAACAGTTGACTTAAAACTTATACGATTTTCATCTTGAAGCTTCCTGATTTCTAATGATGAATTATTGGCCATACTTGCAACTTTTAATTTATGTCTAATTCCTTTGATAAAATTGAAGATTGAAGATACGTCCTAATAGAGATCTTCACCACCTCACAGACGTTCGACCCTACAAACATCTATATTTGCCCACAAAGGCTTAATTTAAGGGCTCGTTTACATTAGGGACTTGTATATTTGCACGTCGACATAGTGGACTGGTACGTGTGATGTCCTTTTAAGACACTGGCAGAGTCTAGTGCCTTTAAAGGACGTCACACAAAGCAGTCCACTATGTCGACGTGCAAATCTAAAAGTCCCTAATATGCCGCGGTAAACGGTATACCAGCGAGGTATATCGTGGCTAATTTGTGTGTGTGTGTGTTTGTGTGTTGTGGGAGCGTGAGTGTGTTTACGAAACGAGTGGCAAGTGTGGATGAGAAACGTACCAGCTCGCAACTATTCAACGCGTACTAACTTAATGAAAGGGCCTCAGATTTTGAACAATTCTTAAACCGAGGACGTCCTCGCTTCGATGGTACTCACCAACCCACGCACCAACGTATCTGTGTGTTACGCGATACAAAGTGTAAAATGCTGTACACTTAAAACACTGCAGTAGTTCACCGTACATATGTGATGAAGCCTTAATGGGTCGATTTGGAGTCAGTTCCGTAAAGTGTGAATAGGGTATATCATATCACTGTTGCCCTTGCTTTTAATCTATATACAATTAACCTTGTAATTGAATCTACAAGATATAAACTTGGTATTTGACCAGATCTTTTGTTTAACCGTCACACACAACGTCAACCACAATTGATACGTATATAGGGCGTGACTGTAGGACGTTATTACAAAGCAGAGGGTTGTGGCTTTGACACCCTATTTAATTTAATTTTAATCTTTTGAATAGGCATTTCGAGAATCACGTGGAAATCACGTGTGACACAATTATGATGCGAGACCTTGTACTTAGTAACTTTGTAAATATTTATCGTAGCCTCTCCAATGATAATTATCGTGCTTCATACTGATAATAGGTTACATATTGACATATTGACATGTTTATGCAATTATCAACATAATTTTAAAAAGTTCTTGAACGGGGTGAACGTTGATCATTCAGATTTTGTGTTGGTTTTAAAGGCCGTCAGCTCTAGTTTGGCCAGAAGGGATTAGAACACACAACAAGGTCACTGACATGTGGCTATCTCATCAACTCAGCTCTCAATTAACATTAAAAAAGAGGTTCATGGGGGACCAACAGGCACCAATTGGGGAATTTTTCTATATAGAGGGAGCAAGTAGCTACAAGTAGTACAGTGGGTCTTTAAACAATTTATACAAGTTTGATAACTTTTCGAATAGGATGGTGTGCCCCACTCCTCCCCCGTCCCAGCTTACCCGGTGTACACACCCCCACCTCTCATATCAGATGGCCCTGTGATGCCTCCGTCTTTATCTATATAAAACTGGTCCAATAGCTTCTGCAATCAGTTGGCATTGCACATTTCTGAATCATGGATCTCGACACATCTTTCATCACGGATGTTTCGCTCGTGGGCGGTGCCCTCAAAGCAACATTTGGTGTCCTTCTCCTGTATTTCATCTACTGTTACTTCAATGACAATGGCAGTCAATACCATCACCCACCCGGGCCAAAGGGTTTACCGTTTCTAGGGAGTGTTCTCAGTATGATTTTCACCAGAAAGCACCCTCATGAGGTGAGTCTCAAAGGTATAAACCAGTTTTGGAAACGCCCCCTCTCAAAAATGAAATGGAAGCTCTTATTACCAATCAAGTGAAAGAATATGTTTTGACTAATACGTGATGATACAAATTTTGCCGGGAAACCGCCTACTAATTGATATATTTGGTAAATTATTATATCTATCCGGACTGGATAGATATCCCGTAGTCCCATAAACTTCGTTCTGTGTACAGTGCTTGTATCTTTACCAAGACTGGGCCAAATTTCTTATCATTTTGATGATATCAGAACCTTGCAGTACACACCAATACTTATATGCTAGATGATCAACTTTTCCGATCGATTCCACAACGTTTCTTTCACAATGCAATCGCATGACCAGAGCTGGTCTATACCTTTAACAGGAATGGTTCAAGGGTTTACGCAAAGATGGGGCAGAAAAGTCCCAAATTAGTTGACACCCCCACAAAAGGAAAGCCATCCCATATTCATAAAACATTACTAAGCCTAGTTGGCAACTAAAATAGACATGGCATATAATCACTTTACTTTAACTAGCAAGCGAAGCGAACGAGCATAATATTTTTCTGTTTTTAGTCAGTTATGTTTTTTTAATGTCTTACACAATTATTATCAGGGGGGTGTTTAAAAAAGATCCTAAGTAGAACTTAAGTCTAAGTTGGACTTACAAATTATGGAGAGCCATTTGTAGCCTTAAAATGAAATATTTTCCAAAGCAGACATTCAAGAATTTTTAGACTTTTCATAATTTTCACATTGAGAACATCAAATCTCCTTAATAATAGAAAATATGAACAATTTGAATCAACATTTGATGCCTTTTATATTAACTTTTACAAAGTATTTTTAAAGTCTAAGTCCAACTTAGAGATAAGTTGAACTTAGGATCTTTGTGAAACACCCCCCCCCCCATGCACAATTTGTCAAGGTCTTGGATGATTGGACGAACAAATATGGCGATGTTATGTGCATCAAGCTCATGAACCGTCGATTGTACGTGGTCAGTGATGTCCGGCTCGGACAGGACGTGATGGGCAGCATGCATGCCATGGACAGGGAGCCGACTTTGCTCATACAGACTCTGACGGGAAGAAAAAATGCTGGTGAGTGACTGCATGGTCCGAAATAAGAAACGAAATTAAATATACCCCAGCTGAAATAAATATATTTATTTACATTTTGGTAATTAATCCTATGAGCTAACCGTTGACCATTCTCAGCCGTAGTCCAATTTTCCGTCTTCGTCCTTGCCCTTGTCCTTGCTCGTGTTATTGTCCTTGCCCTTGCCCTTGTCCTTACCCTTGTATTTACTTTTTGTCGTCCCGTCTCAAGTCCATTTTCTACTTATCGGCCTTTGAACGAATCAACTACTTAATTTATACATTTCTGGGGTCATCTGTAAAGTGCAGAATTGCAAAATCAACTGCCGGGGTTATAGTAATAATGTAAGCACTTTGCTGTCAACGTTTATATAACCTTTATAGGTTATAAGAAACAGACATTGTTATTCATTACACATGTCTAGTTATCAAATTGTTATTATTCATTATCTGTAAAAAAAAAATAATACTATTGCTCCTATTAATTAATTATCATTATTTTTATCATTATTATCAATATCATCATCATTATCATTGTTATCAATATTGTTAATATTAATTTAATATCATTATAATCATCTTCATCATTATTAGAGTGTCAAAGGTGAGATATGATATGGTATTTCCTATCCTCCATACTATTCCAGGAGTTGCCTTTGCCAATGGAGAAGTGTGGAAGGAGCAACGCCGCTTGCTTATGTCTGTCTTAAAGAAGGCTGATGTTGATGGTATCAGGTAACATAAGTTTTATTTATTCAATACCTGATTGCCATTTGCTCTTATTATCATCCTCCACATATCTAATCATGATGTATTCTTAAATTTTCATCCTCTGTTTCTGTGTATCAACCCTTCTCTCTATCAGCCCTTCTCTCTATCTTTTCTTTTCACTTTATGTTTAAAAAGGCAAGGTGTTTTACTGACAATATTTTGAGATTTAAGTATACTGCCATCTGCTAATCACAATGTCCCGATGGGTCGACAGCCATTTCCCACAATGCATCACCAACTGATGACGCGCGCTTGATAATGCTCGGGCAGCGTCTTATTTTTTTCGTACCACGGCGAGCCCAGATCGAGCTCGCAAGGTAAACCTGCGCATACGCACTCGCAGAGGAAACCAGCGCATGCGCACGTGGGATCCGATAGGGTTGTTAACAGGGTGATAGTAATTATACAAATCAATCTGTCATCAACTCATCGTCAGCTCAATCGGTAAGGACAGCGTGTTACTAATAAAACTTTGGAGTTGACGTGAGGGTTCAAATATCATTTTTTTTTTCCTTTATAAATAGTGAGGCAGAGCAATAAATAATCAAAGTCGAATTGTTTGTGACCTCTTTGCAAGCTTTCGTAGCTTGTTATGTATGAAAATGAGTTCATACTGGAATCTGGGCTCGCCGTGGTACGAAAAAATAAGACGCGCTCGGGCACAGGAACCGGAAATAGTCTATTTACACCTATTTCCAAAATTGCTAGCGTTTTCTGTAAAATACGCTGCCTTCCCCGTCTTCTAAAAGTGAAAGGACAATAACGCCATGCACTGTCAATGGCTGTATTATTCCTTAGTGTTGGGATGGTTATTTAGGGAATCATGTTCCCTCATTATCAAAATTGTCATCGATTTGGACGAGTTTGATCTAAGAGTCTGAACATAAATATTCTGCGTATATTTTCTCAATGAATACTCTGATATTTTCTCAACAGCTACGATGATATCATCGTGTCTCAGGCAGAGCGTATGTTGGCAGAATTCGAAAAGACCAACGGCCAGAGCTTCGATCCGAGGGACCTCATACATAAGACTATTGGAAACGTGGTCATGAAGATCCTTACAGGGGTGACATACGACTACGATGATTTGGAATTCTCCCGAGTCATGACGAACACGGTTCGTGTCTTTACCCTGCTCGGTGAAGCGGGAATCCTGGCCTCGATCCCAGCTCTCGCTGCCATCCCGTCTCCTACAAAATGGAAGATCATCAAGGCATGGGAAGAGATCTATGGCTTCCTCAAGGAAATCATTGAAAGACGCAAAGCAAGGTTTGACACGAATCAAAAGGCGACTGACTTCATGGGAAGCTTTGTGAAGGCAATGTCTGCAAAAGGAACAGAGGTATGTCACTTTTCAGACCGCCTTGAATTTTCTTTGGCAACAGAAATAACTTAGAAAGACAATCTGAAAGTGGTCTTTTCACAATTCAGTTGCAAATTGTAAGGTACTGTTAAATAGGTAGTCCTATATTCCTTATATCTACGTAATCTATTTGGTAGAAGATGAATAAAACAAAAACTTAAATGAGGATCCATTAACTCATTTATGGCCAAACTGTTAAAGATTACATAGGGATGACAGTTATCATAATAGATACATTTGGTACATGGAGTCAACAAACAGTAAAAGCTTATCGAAATGGTATGACATTGTTTGCGCTGGAGCTAGGTCTTTAAAAAAGCTCTACTTAAGAACTTGAATAAATATGTCACTTTATATAATACAGATTGGTCCAGCTTCCTGCGACGAAATCAACCTAATGGTGTCCTCCTTCGACCTGCTTCTTGCAGGATGGGACACGATCTCCACCACCCTTGCCTGGGGCTTGCACACATTGGCTTCCTACCCTGAGGCTCAACGTCGAGTTCATCAAGAAATCAAAGACGTCATCGGCCTTGACCGCCTTCCGCAGTTCTCCGACCACCACAGCATGCCCGTGACGATGGCGACCATCGCTGAGTGCATGCGTTTCCGACCCACCTTAGCGGTGCACATCCCTCACGTTGCTACACAGGATTGCAAGATTGGAGGGTACGACATCCCCAAAGGCGGACAGATCACTCTCAACATGTGGTACCTGGCCCAGAGCCCCAACATCTGGAAAGAGCCGCAAGAGTTCAAACCTGACAGATTCTTGAACGAAGACGGGGAGTTTGATCGGAAAATCGACCCACTATCGTTCGGAACAGGTATCAAGAGGGTCTTTTAGATTTGCACGACGAGAACGTGGACTGTCACATGTGACATCCTTTTAAGGCAATGTGACGTCCTTTTAAGGCACTGCCGGGCACTGCCAGTCCCAAAAAGGACGTCACATTGCCCTAAAAGGAAGTCAAACGTGGCAGTCCACGTTCTCGTCGTGCAAATCTAAAAGTCCCTATTGTGCGGGACAGTATGGTTGGCTTGTAATAATGGCGTCCCAATTGGCATTTTCCCGTTTCTTTGAAATACATGGCATGTATGTCAAAATAAATTGTAATAGTCATGCTAATAGCTCGCGTAGTATACATTTTTTGCGGGCCAAAATGTCAATATCTAATACACATCTTCATGTATAACTGAGTTGTAGTATTTGATAACGTTGCTAGCTCTAAGTCCTTTAATTATTCCACCTACTCTTTAACCTCGATCTATCGGGAACGTAAATACCCTATGTATCTGCAAGGACGATCCAATGATTCGTAAGCTAGGTCACACAGTCCTTCTCCTCCTCGAGTTTAAAGATAAACTTGAGTTCTGGTAAAAAAAAAAAAATCAATTCTCACAGAATCAAACGAAACTGACACTGAATGTTCAAGATTACAAATAAATGTCATGTGCCGAACAATTTTGGAAGAAAATGTATACTGGCTGAGTTATGAGCATAACAAGGTAATGAAATCAAGATAAGCTAGCCCCGACACCATTTGTTTAGTCCCATATACATCTTTCTGTGTACAGTGCTTGTTACTTTACCAAGACTGGGCTAAATTTATTATGATTTTGATGACTCCAGAACCTTACAGTACACACCAATACTTACATGCTACATGATCAAAATTTCTGTTCCATTCCACACCTTTTCTTTCACAATGCAATCGCATTACCAGAACTCACCTTTATCTCTAAAATGTTCATCTTCCCAACTTGCAGGTCGAAGGGTTTGTCCTGGAGAGCCACTGGCAAGAACTGAGATATTTCTCTGCCTCACGTACCTTCTCCAGCGTTTTACCTTCAGTTTGTCCGAGGGCACCCCGACGAATCTACCAACCCATTTCAGTCTTACCAATCAACCGAAAGCTTACCAGATTCACGCTGTCAAGATCGCGTAAGGCTTCCAGCAAAGTCCAGAGGTACCCGGAAAAGGCTTTTTATTGGCATCCTGCTACCGTCCTAGCCAGGGGCGGTATTCTGACATTCATTTAATCTCAGATAAAATCTGAGATTTTAATAGCTCAGTGACATAATACACCCTTCAAATATTTTTTCGAATCTCTAATCTGAGAACCACTTTATCTTGCTTTTATCTCACTGAGACATTTGTGATGCGACATCCAGTAAGAAATGCTGTTTTATTTTTCTCTCTTCATGTTTAGCCATTAGACAGGTTTTACCGTATGATGGATACGTCACTGAGAGAGGATGTCACTGTCCTAGGAGTAGGTAACATTGCTTATCAAACCTTCCGCACTTATATCGCACGTTATGCCCATGCTGTAAAGGTTTACAGAATAATTAAGTAGATATTACACATGTACAATGTACAAAGTACAATGTGTTGTACATACAATCGCATAGAGTATGATAACACAAAGTACAGCGTGAACACATAAAACGGAAACATTGTTTAAGCCCCGATTGCTGACATGTATAATAATGGTATGATAGGTGAGAACATTTTCATTGATTTGATAGGTTGCTAAACAAAATGCGATCACGAATGAACACTGGCCATTTCTAGAGAAAAAAAAGCATGTTAAATTGCCTAAGCCCACGTTTGAGATGAACTGTATATTATAAAGTTGCTTTCTTCATCTATAAATGCATTTGGAATGGGGAGTCTTCATCCGGGCCTCGGTTTGACTTTTTTCTTCATCATTTGGCAACACAGTCATTATACTAAAACATACACTGAGGGCTTGATATTTATGGAATTTCTGTGTAAACCGGTTATCAAATCCAACGGCATTTTATGTACATGTAATTTTGATATTCATAATTGACTATTTGCAGTGCTAAAACTTGTCTTCTTTTTCAGTAATTTCTGTTAGAGCATGTTCATCTATAAATGCATTTGGAATGGGGAGTCTTCATCCGGGCCTCGGTTTGACTTTTTTCTTCATCATTTGGCAACACAGTCATTATACTAAAACATACACTGAGGGCTTGATATTTATGGAATTTCTGTGTAAACCAGTTATCAAATCCAACGGCATTTTATGTACATGTAATTTTGATATTCATAATTGACTATTTGCAGTGCTAAAACTTTTCTTCTTTTTCATTAATTTCTGTTAGAGCATGTTCATTCAACCGTCAACGTAGAAATATCATAAAGACCTATTTACCAACTTTAAATATGCAGTGTAAAACTGGATCTGCATGAAGACAATTGTCTAAAAATGCTCTTTGATATTAAAAAAGAGGAACTGCTATTGTGCTTAATTTAATGTTTTTACTAAATCTTCTTTCTTATGGTTGCATAAAACTTAGGAATTTTTTGAGGCATGCCCGCATACATGATACAGGAATTGCTTCATCTTACCTAAAGTAGTATGTAATGCAACAAGCATCATACTGTATATTGTGTTGGTAATGTTTAGGGATTACGTCCTTCATCATGGATGTATTGTTACAATTTTCAGTCGGTGTTGTCAACAAATTTATAAACGTTGAAATGTAAGAACCCTTTTCAGCTTTCATTAAACAAAAATCTTACGAAACTGTTTAACATTACAGGGCTAAGTCACTCTTGTCATCAAATTTTGAAATGACATAAGCTTGTGAATCTTTCACTTGACGTTAGAGGTGTCTTGGTCGAGTGGATCTGTCACCGGAATCTGAATCACATGGCGGTTCGAGTTCCGCCGCTACAAACACAATGGCCCGAATTCACAAAGGATTTTTGTCGACAAACCTTGGTTTTCGTACGTCATATGACGCGTTTTTACGCGTATTTTACAAACCTGGTTTGTTAAGAACAAAAGGAGGTTTGGTAAAAACATAAGGAGGTTTGTCGACAAACCTCATTTGTGAATTCGGGCCCATACGGACAAACAAACAAACTTACACAATACGATCTAAGAAATGAGAAAAAAATCTTGTCAGAATCCCAAATTCGAAAGAGATGAGAATCCCTTCACTTGATAATCAATTTTCCAAAACTTACCTCACCTGTTTCTGAGAATGGCATGACAATGACTGTCATATCTCATGACAAGTTTATGTAATCCTGCTATTAAATAAAACATAAACATGTACAAATGTAAGCTAGGGAATGGCTAGATACACTAGGCTAAATAAAAGCAATCTTTCATTTTGCTATTTTTTCCAATCCGTCTTCACCTGTCTTTTCAAACACAATCACACCCACACAAACATATATATATATATATATATATATATATATATACAAACATCAGTATTCCCACGCATCATTACATATTTTTGTTCACTTACATTTGCCCTCTTGAACCGTACTCTGACAACACAGCAATTATAATGTTAGGCATCGATACAGTAACAAGCCTTTCAACAGCGAATATGCAATCTAAAAGCATTTAATTCATTCACATCATTAGAGATATTTTATTTATATGAGAACTATCCATCATTCTTAAATGTGATATTCCTCAACAAACATAAGCGAGGATGACTTGTATTTCATGACGAGGAAAGTTATGGCCTGCATATTATCGTATCCTTGTTTGCTTTCTGTTTTAAATATCCATTCGCTCCGAATATCCATGAATCCTGAAAAGCAAATCTGTTAGCGGTCACTCTCTCTCAAATATTGAATTTTCTGAAAGTGATGTGTTCCTAAGTTCATACAAACTGTAAATTGATCACGTAAATGTGTCGATGTTTTTAATACATTTTAGCAGATTCTGGAAATGGGTTTGACCAAAGGGCCGATGCGATGAATATTTCATATATTTTGTTAATAATTCATTTTAGAGCTTTAATTTGAGAAAACAAGGTGTTGACAATCTAAAATTATTGTGATAGATATAATAATTCCAGTTATAATTGTAAAAAGCATTATGATAAGCATTGTCAAACAAGTACCTCTGCTGATAGATAATGATAATTTTGAAACGCGTTTTTCTTGGATAGATTAGTTTAGCAAAGAATTGTCATATTTCCAATTTCATATTCCTTTTCTATTCTTAATCTTTAAATAAAAATAAATGCATGTAGCCTTTATCCGTCGTCATCCTTATTATTTTGTTTCGTTCAATATTCCTATTTTTGTCTGGTATACGAATTTACGAATTAAAGTGAATCGATATATGTTTTGTTCACGCTTATATTAACACGAAATTGAATAAGATTAAATGTAATCGATTCAACCGAATCATATCAGCGTCTGTGAAATATAAAGGGAAAGAGACACTATGTAAAAGAGAGATACGAAGATGTAGAGAAAAAATTCGTGAGAGAGGGCCAAAAAGACAGAGAGATATATTTAAATATAATGGTAGATGAGAGAGATAGAGATAGAGATTGATAGAGAGAGAGAGAGAGAGAGAGTGTGTGTGTGTATGCGTGTGTGTGTGCGTGTTTATGTGGGTGCGCGCGTGTGTGTTCGTGTTCGTGTGCTGGAGATGTGCAGGTTGGTACATCTTTTCGCCACATTTTTGTTGTTGAGGCAAATTGGTTTTCAACACCGGTAATCATGCGCTAGTTGCTGAACAATCAACTTGATTGCCAATTTTAGCTCTTGATGAATTTTAGCTCAATATGATGAACAGTGTGCAATGTACCATCAATCATTCTCAAAGCGACTTTCTATTTTAGGGTCCTCGTTATAGTCCCCAACTCGTTCAATAGCTGATAGGTTTTTTATGAACATAATGATAGTATTTTGAATCTAAATGAAATTTGCATTATATCAAGGACATGCTACTGAGGTTTCCAGGTAACATTTTACATACCTATTGATAACCAAAGAAAAAATCAATTATTACTATACCACTTTGTTTTCACAAACGAATATTTTTATATGACCTCAAAGAACCGATTCTCTGAATCGATCTGCATGACTGTTGCACAGAAGGTGTCGTTTCGGTTGCATTATCACCTCCGCTTATCGTACCCAGGAATCTATGCCTAATAAGTGAGTTCGTAAATAGCTCTGGAACGCATGACGCCAAAATATCCACAGATCTTTTACACGGTGGATACGTCCAACGTGTGCATTTTATAATAATCACTGCCAAAAGGATGGAGGTGCTTCATGAATACCTTTTGTTTGCCTCTTGAGAAGAATACTTCCACCTGTGTATCAGATAGATGTAATATTAGTGCATAAATGAATACTGATTACATAACTGTCTTGAGCACGATCCGAGTATTCGTCTCAATGGTTTTACAATTTGGGTACGAATGACCTTTATCTGCCCATGCGCAAATCCTAATTACGAACTCGCTTATTGTGGACGTGTCGTGGTACAGTGATCCAATCACTTCACTGTCAATCCAAGAGTTGAGGGTTCGAATCCCAGTCCGGCACTATGTTAAACGTCATATGGCAAGACATGAATTTACAGTTCCCATTATTCCATTTACTCTACCCAAGTGTTAGACGGGTCCTCGGTTCGACGGCTTGCATCATCAGTTCGATCAAGCACATTCTGGCTCTGCATGTCGCATCGTCGCATCGTACTGGAAATGAATACATAGTGAACAGTAAACACATTGCGTTGAATTAACGCGGGTAATAATGCAATAGTTGTCACTTGTCTGTTTTTTTTAAAAATAGTTTGTCGCTCGCCTATTTGCAGAGAGAGTAATGCTGCTGTTTATTTACGGAGATGAATCGAGAAGATTGAAACATATACACGTCCGTCTATTCCGGCTTTGTCTGTTTTTGTATAGTTTGTCGCTCGCCTAATGGCAGAGATAGTAATGCTGCTGTGTTTGTTTAGGGATATGAATCGAGAAGATTGAATATTTGTCACATTATTCATGGCCGTATATTCCTTTGGAGAATGAGATTGAATTCATGTAGCAAATGTGAAACAGCCATTACTTTGGTTTCTTTTTTAAACAGTGTTTCAAATGCCATCTATTAAAATGAATTTTAGCATAAATAAGAGCTAGTTACATCAGTATCAAAATCTCTTAGAATAAATTAATCTAACAATTATATGCATGGTGCCTTTATTTTAACGTGTCTATATTTTAAACTAGGCAGATAATTT